GCGCTCTGCTCTCACTCCGGTGCATAGACGGAGAAAGCCAGGCTCACAGGGGTTCAGGGACTTGCCAGAGGTCACCAGCCGGCACACGAGCCGAGCCGGGTGCCACCCCGGCCGGGTCTCCGCCAGGCCTGGAGCGTGCCGGGTCACTCGGCCCCCGTGTGAGCTCGGGGGCAGAGGAGCTGGGCGTAGGGATGCGGAGCGCTTTGCCGGCCTCAGCGGAAAAGAATTTGAGACGATTCTTTCTGCTTCGTCCCCTCCATGAGACGAGGTGCGTTCAAGCCCGAGGTGGGCGGATAACCTTGGTTTCGAGTCCTGGGGTCCACACAGAGGAGCAGCCAGTGCTGAGCCAGGGCCCCAGGTGCTGGATGAGGTTCCTGAGCTCGTGGTGCTTCTGACCAGAGAGCCAGGCTGGGAATGAACCCGGCTCCAACCCCCCAACACATACACCCCGCGCACCCCCACCCCAGGTCCTGCGGGCACGGCTTAGAGCTCCCCCTGGTGGTGCCACGTCGGCAGTGCAGTGATGCCTGCAGTGTCTGGCTCGCCCCGGGCCAGGTAGAGGGACAGGTCTCCGAGCTGTTGTTTTCACTCTGCCCTAGAGAGGTGACCGGCCCGGCCTCCAGCCCGAGGCTGCCCGTCTTAGCGGCAGAGCCAGAGTCAGGGCCCAGCCCGTCCTGCTCCGGTCAGCGGCCTGATTGCTTAAGGAGCTGGGATTCGGGTCTGGGGGGCCTGGTTGGCGTGGGCCCCCGACCCCCACCTTCTTGGAGCCCGTTTCTTCATTTGTAAGATGGGGGGTGGTAATGCTCGTTTCATGCGGTCACCCTGAAAATTCACCTGTCTTCCTTGGTGGTCTGCACCCCAGCTGCCTGTGAGAACCCCCAGTTCATGCAGTCCAGACACCCGGGAAAGCCCCATGCTTCGAGAGCAGTGGGTCTCACCTGGGGCCGATTCTGCCCCCGGGGACGTGTGGCAACGTCAGGAGACGTGTTCGTCACGATCGGGGTGCTACTGGCATCTGGCGGGTAGAGACCAGGGGTGCTGCTCAGCGCCCTGCAATGCACAGGACAGCAGTACGGGGCTGAGGCCTCCTGGAGCTTCTGACCGCCTCAGACAGACATGGGGCCCTAGAGGAGGGAAATCGTTTTGGTTTTTTAAACTGAAGTGAGATGCACATGACAGAAATTTGCTAACAGAACCATTTCGAATTGTTCAATTCCGTGGCAGTCAGTGCGTTCCCGGTACTGGGCAGCCAGCACCTCTATCTAGTTCTGTAACGTTTCCATCACCCCAGAAGCCCCGTGCATTGCCGGTCACTCCCCGTCCCCCTCCTCCAGCTCCCCCACCCTCCGCCCTGCCGGTCACCCCCCCTCCCCCAGCCCCTGACAACCCCCGGTCTGCTTTCCGTCTATAGATTTGCCTGTTCTGGACAGTTCTTTATCAATGGGGTCATACACGTGTGGCCTCTTGTGTTCAGCTTCTTTCACTCAGGATAATGTCCTCGAGGTCCATCCACGTCACCTAGCGTGTGTCAGGACTTCCTGCCTTTCTATGGCTGGCTGGTCTTCCAGGCGATTGTCCCACTGCTGAACTGGAGAGCTCCACTCCGAAGCGCGTGCGGACTCCTGGGCTGAGGCTGGGCGGTGTCTGTCAGGCATGGGGCTCGGCGGCCCCGTGTGAGCGAGGCCTCCCTGGGCTAAAGCTTCGGGAACGGTGCCGGTGCCTTCTGGGTCCCTGCCCTCCTGGTCTAGTTGAGGGGTCATCCGTCCGCTCAGAGCTATGATTCCTAGGTGATCCCTCCTTTGCCACAGGCCCTAGCAATTCCGTGTGGCAGCTCCTCCGGCCAGTTTGTGACACCGGATCCCCACCGCTGTTCGTGGCAGGTTGCCGGGAGCTTAAGGGAAGTTCAGATTTGGATTCCGAAAGAGGGCAGGCGTGGGGCCCAGAACTTGCATTTTTTAGACGGTGACTCTGCCCTAGCCAGGTTTGGGCACTGGGCCCATTCGCTTGCTCCCTCTTGCTGAGTGTGGGGTTCCTGTGTCCCCCACTACGTTGGGGACCCTGGAAGCAAAGCTGGAACCCCTCTACTCCCTCCCACCTGCACAGCGCCCGCAGGCGAGGGACTGGGACCCCCAGACGGCGTGGAAGGCTCTGGACGGCAGCAGAGCAGGCTTTCCCGCGGTCGTGAGAATGCCCAGGGTGGATTTGAAAAGTCTTGATGCCCAGGCCACACCCAGACCGGTGGCTCCAGGACCGCTGCGGGTGGGCCCAGGGCGTGGGCAGTGTTTGAGCCCCCCGGGGGTTCCCAGTGTGCAGATGGGGTGGACGAACCCGTGAGGGGACCAGTGGGAGAGAGGCATGGCCCCCGCTCCTCGGGCAGAGAGGGGTCTGAGCTGGCGACCCGGAGCACAGGATCCGGCTGGACAGGACACCCCTCAGGGGGCTGGGCTTGGAGGACGTGCATGGGCCCCTCGCTGCTGCTAGAGCAAAGGCTCCTGTTTAACTGGGAATTGGGTCCCCAGGAGGGGACAAGGCAGGCTGGCTCACGGGTTCCCTCTGGTGGCAGAACCAAAGAACTACACATGGAGGCTGAGTGTGTGTGGCTGGGGATGGGAGAGGAGGAACAGCCCCCATTCTGAGAGACCCCCAAATATTTTGTTCTATGGTAGGTAGTTCACAGAAGGGGTGAGTGGTTAAAAATGGCAGTGTCCATCTGTGTGCCACCTATGGGCATAACCGGGCAGGGCCTGGTCCCTTGGTGGTGAGGCCACCTGCCCTAACCTCCCCAGCCCCCAGCACAGTGATGGCCAAAAATCCTTAAACAGATGAGCGTTCGAGGCCCGGTGGGGACTGACCCTCTCCCCGCTGAGGTCTGAGTTCTCCGAGCAGGGCGAGCTGTGGCTCCTGGTTCCACCTTCGTGGTCAGGCATCAAGGCTTCAGACTGGGGCAAAGGTCAGCGAGACCACCAGGCAGAGCAGCGGCCAGCCCGCCACTCACTTCCATCCTGAAAGGCACCTGGTCCAGTCTCAAGGGCCAGGTGAGCGAGAGCGACCTGTGACAGGACCCCACCCCGTGTGCACCGCCGTGTGGCCTGTCAGCCGGCCCCACCCACCCATGGGAAGAGCACTGGTGACATATGAAGAACCGACACGTAGCTCCTACCCCCCAAAGTGTCCCTTCCGGAACGCGTCCTAAGACATGATCTCAACGACAGAAATCAAACACGTCTGCATGAAGATGTTCATCACGGTGTGTTTTATAATGGAGGGAAAAGAGGGAAAAACCTAAACCACAGGAGAGATAAATCGATGACGTTTTATCTGCACGGTCAAGGTTTTAGCCGGGGCCCATGAGCCGCCCGAAATCTCAAGCCACTTTCTGCATGGTGCTCATGGGGGTGCATCTTTCTGAGGAGGGGCCACCATCCGACTTCCCAAGGGGTCTGTGCCCCGCCAAAGGTTCAGAGCCTCGGTGCTGCGGATGGGAGTGTGCAGTGCTTGTCAAGACCGTGGGGACGGGGACATTCCCGGTGTGGCAAACGCAGAGCAGGTCGCAAATCACGTGCACGTCGATTAAAATCTGCGTGAGGGCCTGACGCGCGGACCAGGCGCTCAGGGCAGTGCTGCCTGGCTCGGCTCTCTGCCAAGACAGAGGTGTCCCACCCAGTGCCACTGGCTTCGTGTGGCTCGGGAGCACTTGAGATGTGGCTCCTGAGACGGAGACACTGAATTTTTAATTTTACACAATATTGTTTAGTACAAATGAAGGTAGCACTGGGCAGCTTGGGTTGGGGGAAGATGTATCAGTTTCTTCGGACATTATGATTATGACTAATTTTTTTCTTTTCTTAATTTTCAAAAATTCTATATTGTGGTCATATTAACCTTATGACAAAAATGAGGTTTTAAAATAGATAGCCAGTTAATCCCCTGGGGGAGCAGAGGGCAGGCTACGACCCTCCCCTGACACCCCCTCCCCTGACACCTGCAAACTTATTAATGAAAAAGCCCCCTGGGGCTATGTGGGGCCTTCTGAGGAATCTGCTGCTAACGACCTGCCACCCTCAGTCCCCAGAGCTTGTGGCTGGTGCCCTCCACCCCCAGGGTAAGTGCGAGCTCCACATCCTCGCTTCCATAGGACCCTCCGGTCATTTTTGGCGTGCTGTCTCGGGGGCAGCCGTCCCCAGTCAGGCTGGCACGTGGCGTTACAGATTAGGTGAGGTGGCCGGCTTCACCGGTGCGGTGGTCCAGCCAGACCAGACACGGGGCCAGCAGGGCCAGGTCCGGCCATGGGGGCACACAGCCCGCCTGCCCATGGGGTCCGGCCCAGACGCCCACCTGCCTCTCCAGGCTTCCCTCGCGCTCTGCTCCCAGGCACACTGTTCCCCAGCCTCGCTGCCCCCCACTCTGGAATGCTCTCCCCTCTACGGCCGAAGCCCCAGCCAGCCTGCAGGGGGCTCGCTGTGACGCCCACTCATACCCGAGTTTCCCTCTGCGGGCTCCTGTGGCTCCCTGTGCGTCTCACTCAGTCGTGTTTAAAACACGCTTGTTTGTGACACTGACCAGACCTCCTGGAACAGGACTGGCCAGTAGAATTCTGCCGTGGTGGGTCCCCGTCCACTGTGGTAGCCTAGACACACATGGCCATCAAGCCCTGGAAATGTGCCTGTCGCCACTGAACAGCTGGAGTTTTAATTTTATCCATCTTTAATGAATTTAAATGTTATTGGCCGCGTGTGGGCGGGGCTTCCTTGTGGACAGCGAAGGCCCAGCTGGAGCAGCCTGGTGAGGATGGCAGGTGCGGCCGCCCTCCTCAAAAGGGAGGAAAGACAAGAACCAGGGACAGGCACCCCTCCCCCACCCCCAGGTAGCTGGCTTCACAGGACGCGGCAGGAGGGTTCAGGTTGCCGTGAAGCCACAGGCAGACGCCTGTGCGGAGGGACACTTGCTGCCGTGGGGCCCCTCCCGGCTCCGGGCGTCCCAGCCCGCAGGGCATGTGAGGCTGATATAAATGGAATCTTAAGTGCTTTTTGCCTGTAGAGGAAAAGGCTCTATGACACCAGGGTATCAGCCATAGCGGCTGAATTATTAATACTTTGTCATCCTCCCTGGCGAAACAGCCCTCTCCTCCCGCATGGGGACAGAAACGAGGCGTTCTGGGGAGCATCCCAGCTCCGCGGGCCCGGTCCGAGCATCCGAGGGCGTCATCGCCGGGGAGCTGCCACGAGGGGCCCGGGGGGTCGGCAGCGTGGCCCACAGCCTGCCGAGGGCCGTGGCCGTGTGATAGCGCCAGATTCTTGGTCGCTCCCGGCGGTCTTCACAAATAGCCTCGCTGTTCCACTTCTGTCCACCCACATGCGGGCAGCAGGGCTGGGAAGAGAAGAGAAATTCCCCCCGAAAGGCGAGGGGAGCTGAAGCCCGCAGCAGTGGGACTGGGGATGACCCCCCATCCTCGGTCACCAGGAGAGGAGGGTGACCGTCGGCGTGACCAGTCGTGAGCGGGAGCAGGCCCATGGGGTCCGTTGAGACAGCAGGTGGAGTGGCCAGGAATTGGCGAGGGGGGGGTGATGGGGAGCTCGGAGGGAGGTGTCCCCCCCACCCCGAGATTTCAGGACGATGCCTGGGTGCTCAAGCTCAGAGCTCGGCGGAGCGCCGGCCTTGGCGGACACTGCCCTCGCCCCTCCTGGGCCCCCCGAGGCGTCCTGGCCGCCGGGAAGCCAGCAGCTTCCACGGATCTGTTGTTTGGGTTTGTTTGTGCTTCCGTAACCGGAGCTGACACTCGTTTCTCTAAAACATCACATCTCCGACGCACCGCAATCTGCTCTGCGTGCTGTGGAGACTCGTTCCGTCGTATGTTTCTGTAGCGCTCGGCGGGCTCCGGGCCACAGCTTTCCCTCCCCTCCACGCCGCCCCCCAAGTCAAGGCGGCTCTCACCAGCTGCTCCCCGGGTTTGTTTGCTTCCGTAACCGGAGCTGACACTCGTTTCTCTAAAACATCACATCTCCGACGCACCGCAATCTGCTCTGCGTGCTGTGGAGACTCGTTCCGTCGTATGTTTCTGTAGCGCTCGGCGGGCTCCGGGCCACACATTTCCCTCCCCAAGTCAAGGCGGCTCTCACCAGCTGCTCCCCGCACGCCGTGCCTGCAGGGTGGCCGAGACCAGGAGTCCGAAGGCAGCCACTCCAGGGGCGGTGGCGGATCCGAGCCCTGCCGCGCAGGCTGGGGTCAGCCTGGGAGCCTCACGCGCTGCCAGGGAGCCAGGCGGTGCCCAGGCCGAGGCCAGCCTTTGCTGTCAGTGCTGGGAGCTCATTAGCAGGTGGCGGCCGCCACTGGCTCCAGGGGCTTGGAGGCGCTGCCAGGCTGAGTCTCGACAGTGCCCGGTCCTCTGGCGGCTGTTTGGTTCACACTCGCGCTGTCTAGGGAGGGGCAGGAAGGCCCCGTGGCTCCTGCAGGGCTGGGAGCCTGGCGAGCAGCCAGGTGGGAATCTGAGCCCCACCGTGGTCCCTCGGGCATGATCCTGGCAACGTGTGTAACCTCCCTGTGCCTTGGTTTCCTCAGCTGTGAAATGGGGCCGTTGTGAGGATTAAGTGAATAGACTCTATTCGAGACTGGAATGGTGGCCGCAGGTCATTTCACGTTTGTCCGAACCCATAGAACAACACAGAGGGACTCTTAATATAAATATGGACCTCAGCTGCTAGGAATAACGGTCGACCCTGGCTCATCGGTCTTAACGACGTGCTATTCTAATGCGTGGCGTTAACGCTACAAGAAATCACGTGTGCAGGGCTTAGCTAGGAACTGTTCCTTCTGCTCAGCCTTCCTGTAAACCTAAAACTTCTCTAAAACTTCTCTAAAAGGCTGAAAAGAACCGCATTCTCGACAGACCGGATTGTGTTGGCTCCAGTTCTAAACCAGCCCGGCCCCTAGAAGTGTCACGTGAACCGCGAACGCGATTATAAGTTTTGTAGTCGTCACGTCTTTAAAAACTTCATTTCTAAATAACTATAGAGTCACAGGAAGTTGCCGGGAACACACAGGGCGGTCCCATGTACCCTTCACCCGGCATCTCCCCCCCACACACACACACGCTGGCAACATCCTGCGTGCAACCCCAAGACAGAGTCGAGCCAGAACCCCGGGTCTCACTGGTGACATGAGCGTCGATCTGCCTGCACCGTCGGCCCTCGAGGGACCGGCGAGTGGGCCAACAATATGTGAAAAATAGAAATGGTTACGTTGTTGCCGACGTGTCCGTAGGTCGTAGGTCGTGGACGGTGGCACCACCGTCTCTCGTGACATTGTCCCCTGAACGATACGGTGTGGCCACAGTTTTCACAGCACGTACGTCGTCACAGGTATATAAAAGTAGCCTGGAGGTGATTTGCAGTACATTTTCTAGAAGGGCCCTGAGCAGCGATGTCTTTGGGTATCTGCGAGGGTCCTGGAACCAGTCTCCTGCAGAGACTGAGGGACAGCTGTACGTGTGTATAGAGTCCGATACAGCTGTGTCGCATGCGTAGCTTTGTGTAACCGTCGCCACAGTCAAGATAAAGACGGTTCCATCGCCACATGGCTCCCGCCTGTCACCACCAACAGTCACATCTGACTCCCGGCCCCCGCCGCTAACCCCTGGCACCCGCTGCTCTCATCTCTGTCTCTGTAAGAATGTTATAGAAATGGCATCACACGCCGTGCGACCTTTGAGCTCGGCTCTTTTTCATCCGGCGTAATTCCCTCGCGCTTCGTCCGGCGGTTGTGCGTGGCAGTGGCTCATTCCCTTTTGTCACCGTGTGGTGTCCCACGCTGTGCATATGCTGGCGTGTTTAACCGTCTGCCCATCCGAGGACGTTTGACAGGTCGTTTCCAGCTCGGGGCATTTACGAATAAAGCTGCTAGGAACATCCCTGTCCTGGTTCTTGTCCGAATGTAGTTTTCATTTCTCTGGGATAAATTCCCAGGAGGGAGACGGCTGGGTCCCGTGCGTGGTGCTTGCATGTCGAGTTTTAAAAGGAATTGCCAAACCGCCTTCCGGGGTAGCTGTGCCACCTTACGGTGCCACCTGCAATGCATGAGTGAGCCTCTCTCTCTGCATCTTCACCAGCGTTTGGCGTGGGCGCTATGTGTTTATTTTGGCCATTCTGATATATATGAAGTGACACTTCATTGTGGTTTTGAGTTGCATTTCCCTAATTTCCGGAGTGGCATTAAGCATCTTTTTCCTGTTTTTATTTACCACCCATGTGCCCTCTCGGGTGAAATGTCTCTTCGTGGGGTTGTTGTTGTGATTTTTTGTTTTGTTTCTTGTTTTTTTTTTTTGTTTTTGTTTTTTGGCCTATATTCTAATTGAGCCACTCGGTTCAACCGTTGCATTTTTCCTATGTTCCGGACGCTCATTTTTTGTCGGATACATGATTGGCAAGTATTTCTCCCAGTCTATAATCTTTCCATCCTCCAAACAGGATCTTTCACAAAGCAAAAGATTTTAATTTCGACGATGTCCAATTTGTCAGTTCTGCCTCTTAGAGATCTTGCTTTTGGCGTTAAGTCGAAGAACTCCTAGCTTCATCCTGAATCCCAAAGATGATCTCCTACGTTATTTTTCTAAAAGTTTGCTCGTTTTACATTTTACGCGTAAGTCCATCGTGAGTTAATTTTGGCGTAAAGAGTGAGGTTGAGGTCAAGGTTCACCTTTTTGCGTGTGGCTATCCAGTTGCCCCAGTGTCCTCTGTTGGGAAATCTGTCCCTCGGTTAAATTACTTTTGCACCTTTGCCAAAAATCAGTCGAGCCTATTTGTGTGAGACTAATAGCCACATTTTTAAAATTGGAAAGAGAGATGTGTAAAGTTAATTTTAATACTTACCCGTGTACCTAAGAGTATTATCATTTCAACACGCAATCGGTCTAAGGAGTTGTTGGCGGGAGATGTCTTGCATGCTATCTTTGAACTAAGTCTTGGGGATCCCGTGTGTGCTCGACCCCTGGAACCTGCCACATGTCAAGCGCTTGCTGCCACATGTGACCCGAGGCCCTGCATGGCTCAGCTCGGGTCTGTGCGGCTCGGCGTCCGGCCGCTGCGTTTTTCGAACCTTCTCTGGTTGGCCCAT